AGTATGCTGGGCGAAACCTTCGTCCAGCATACTCATCGAACTATGGCTATAACTTCGCAAGTACAAGAGCACTATTTTTTTCCTTTGGGCACTATTTAGCACTATTTCAGAACAGTTTTTTGACATTCATGAAATATCAGGATTCCATGGTGAGTATGCTGGATGAAGGGACACGAAAAAAATGAGTTTTGCAACAACTACAAGCTACTAAAAGCAACCAAACGTCACTTGTGATTACTAAGTAAAAGCTATTTTGCCTACATTTCCAAAAATCGGAGACCAAAATTCATGAGCACATAAAAATTCTTAGCAATTTTCATCAATTGTACGCAAAAACCCTCACCAACTGAAAATCACCTTTAAATAAAGTCAACAATCACTTGGGTTGAAAATCAAAAGGTAGCCGGAATTCGGCACACAAGCAACAGAAAATTTTGTACGAAAATACAGTAGCACATTCATTCTTTCCACATTTATCCTTTGTGGCTACGGATATTTTATTTTTTTAGGCATCCTAATTACTCTGCCATCATGTAAATGCGAGAGCTTGTTATTTAGATATGATAATGAAGAATGCCCTTTATATCAAACTTTGGCTAATTAAACATTTGCTTAGAAAATGTTTTGATTAATTTAATTTATAAAAGGTAAATAAAATTATAACTTTCAAATGTGAACAGGTACCTAGTAATTTTTAATATTTCACATAAAGTTTATATATAAATAGGTATTGAAATGTAGCGACACTAACGTGTTGACATTTTTTATGTGTTCTCAAGTGCGTAGCTGCGTCTGCGATCCTATAGCGTTAACACGCCAGTCGTCTCCCGGCTTTGGTGTTAACCAGTAATATTTTGTAATATTATAGATTAGTTGTGAATTGTGTATTTCTTAGAACAATATAAACACAAAGTTAGTACCTATTTTATTTTGGACTTTTATTGAACACACGAACTTTTCTGGAGTCAAGTGAATTTATATAGCAGCTATAGCAGGGGGGGACGGCTCTGGAGGAATAGGATCTATGCTGCTCCGTTATAGTGCTAGTCGCTACAATAAATATAACAAAAAGTGTAATGTGTACCTACCTAATGTAAATAGGACCATATCGGACCTATAGTTGCTTTTTGTCTGTTTGCTTACCTTTTTTTTTCTAACCAACAGGTCCTTGTGTAGCTGGTGTTGTAGGGCTAAAGATGCCTCGATACTGTCTCTTCGGCGACACCGTCAATACAGCTTCCAGAATGGAGTCTAAAGGAGAAGCTCTCAAAATCCACGTATCTCCGGTCACGAAGGCACTGCTTGACCCCTTTGGAACCTTCAATTTGGAGTGCCGAGGAGAAGTCGCTATGAAGGTAGGTAAAATATTTTCGAGAACATGGTGATAACAGTAAACATATTATTATGAGATAACAATTTCAATTTTCATTTTCTTTGTTAAAAAATGTCTACACAAATTGTGGTAAATTTAAATTTAAAGCTTGATAATTTTCATTTAAGACAACTTATTCGAGCTGCGACCAATTGGGAAAAATAATTGGACCTGTATTGCGAAAATGCAATCAATTTTATCAAAAGTTAATTGAAAGGTTCGGACAGACTGTCAATAACCTGTTAGCCAGTATATTGTTATTGATTTTAACCGTCTTAGTCATTGGTTCTTTATCAAATATTTAGAAATAAATTAAGCTGCTCCAGACAATATTACCAATTAGTTTCTCTAAAAAACTACATTAAACTACATAGATCAGCTCAATGATGTTTTATTTAATTTAAAACCCCATTGTTATCAATTTTATGGACCAACTGAATGTTTGTTTCAGGGTAAAGGAATTCTAGTCACATATTGGTTGTTAGGTGAAAAGGTAGATCCAAACGCACCTAAAGACAAACCGTCATTAGTCAAAACCCAGACACTTTCAACAGACAGTGGATCGCTATCACACCTGACACCATTTAGACAACGATTAGAACAAAGCTCCCGATCCTCAAGTAGGCGTGGATCAGGAATATTTATTCAAAGAACAGACACGAGCAAATTAGAGAAAGAAGTCCAACCATTGTTAAAAAACTTGAGTATCCAACGACAGCATTCTGACCCTACAGAACCAGTTTCCAATGGCGTCACAGATAATGGAGACGATGTGGACAAACAAAGTGTCTCAAACTCCATATCACTAAACGTCAATTCGTTAAACCATAACTCTGTTCACTCCAGTCAACCAAGAGTGAAGTTGAAAGACCTACAGAACCAGAACTCAGTCGGGAACCACAAAACGAACAAAATAGGTAATAACAATTGGATTTCCAAATTACCCACAGCGAGCTCATTTGATAACGGCACCAAGAAAGGAGCGGAGCGGTTAAAGGATTAAAGCAGTGTCCCATTACTGTCTAAAGCTGATACACCAAACGATTCAATTGTATAGACTCTCTGTGAATTTAGAATGAACTTTAATGAATATATTTCTGCGAAACATTTGTGCGAAAACTTCATTTTGCTTCTCTATCACACTATTTCCATCATCTAAGTGGATGTTGTATTTGCTCTCACTTGCTCGTTCAAGTATTATGTGTATGTACATTTAGTGAATATAGGAATACATTAATTAATGCTAAAGCAACTCAGCCCCTAATGGTCTGTGTTCCCGAAGCCATTTGTCTCAATTTATTAGGCCATTTCAAGAGATCGTTTAGACTTACATAAACCTTCTTTTCCTTTTAGTGAAAGAAAATGAAAGTTACTTATTACATGAATTAATTTAGTTTCATTTTCCATGATAACCAATAAATATAACAAATGGGTTATGTGACATAAATAAACATAAGCTAATTGTAACATTTCAAATAATTTATGAGAGACATAAAGAAAATTGAAGTAATGTTTATTGTAACAAAAGTTACATTGCTTAATTGGTAACATTTACATAAACATGCAATTGAATAATAACTCAGTGTCTATTTGTAATTATTTCAGGTTTATTTTTGCAGAAAATGTTACGAATAAAGCAATGGTTAAAAAACAAAAGATGTACGTGTCTAATTTCCATAATAAATAGGTTACTTGGTGTTTTAATACTTAAGGCAAGAGTAACCATCGATTTCTAGTGCTGTGTCAAAAAAATGTGACTAGTGCAGGAGCGAAGTAAGTCGCTCTTGCTTCTTTTTGCTATAAATGTATGTACTTTAGCTTAGTAGCGTACTTACTTTACTTACATTCCCGATGACGAGCTTAAATGTCTATCCTGCCATGGAATTTTGTTATTGAGAAAATATTTCAAGCATTGGATACTATTAAAATATCAATATTACACATTGAGCAAGTTTTCTATTTAACTTACGACTTGTATCATCATCAACAGCCTTAAGTGCCCGCTGCTGAGCAATATGACTTGTATTCTTCCTATCATCTATCCTACTTCCTACTATAATAATATAAAATATGATAAAATTTGTATGTTTCTTCGTTACTTCTTCCCGTCAAAACAGCTGAAGGGATCGAGATGACATTTGAAACAGATGTGAATGATAGTTTGGAATAACATATAAGCCATATTTTCATTCCACGGGAATCTAAACAGGCTAATATGCCGCCGGCACAAGCTAATAGTTGACATAAAACCTTATTTCCAAAAGTTTAAAACCAATAAACATGTAATTTTAATATCAATAGACTCCAAAAACATTTGTAAACAATCTAATATTATATCCAGTTTGATTAAACAACATATTCTATTTCCCGTGTTCGCATATGTTTAGCTCGTTGCCCTAATTAATACAATTTCAGGAATATAATGGAATACATTATTATTGTGTTTACAGTGGGCATAATAAATGAGTTTGAGTACACATTTAATTCAATACATTGTTTATTTTGTGAATTTGACTTGTTTAGTTCAAATTGACGGATATTTCTAAACTATATGCATAATATAATTATTTTGAGGATTCACAACAACAGCCTATAAGTAGCCACTACTGACCAAAAGCGTCTTCTCATACGGAGGAGGTTTGAGCATTAATCGCCACGCTTGCCCAAAGCGGGTTGGTGATTCAAACTTCTGATTAGAAATCATAAGCCCAGGTTTCCTCTCGACATTAAATTTTTCCGTCACCGTTTGTCAGTGGTGTCTTCTTATATCTTAGAAAGTAAAGTCAATCTTAGAAAATACAATCATATAACTCGGCAAAAGTCACATTGGTACATGCCTTTGGTAGGTTTCGACCGCGCAGCCTCATGCATGAGACGCTTCTCAAGGCTTAAACCAAGCTACCACGACATTTAGAATATTAATATGATTAATATTAATTAATTGAATAATGTTTTCCAATGATGTTATAGTTATAAATGTGTTTTGATTGTAATAAAAAAAGTCGAAATCAATTATCCTTTTTTCTAGACTCTCTATATCGACTTATGAATTCAAATTATTAAGTATCATTAGACATACTGAAATAACAAAAAAATACGAGTTTCTCACGTGAATATACTGAGAAAAGCTCGTACTAGTTTCGAGTCACAGAGGGACTCTTACTTATGAGTGCGCGGTCGCGGCAATGTCGTACAACTTACTCAAGCTTTACACAAACCGATTCAGTTGCATCTCAGTATATTTACGTGAGTGACTAATAATTTTTAGTTGACTCAAATTCAAATTTTAATTAAAAATTTTCGAAATTGCTCAATGTGTAGTTTATAATATTGTTTTAAAGAACATGACTAAAGGCATTTTATTTATTACAAATGTCGAGACTAGTGTAAATATATGTACTTAATTGTTTATTTATTGTAAATAATTTCTTACTTATAACTATTTTGTGATCTTAGAATGGTATATTTATAATTGTAGATGGTTAAATGAGAAAGTAAATGTTTCTTAAAAATTATAGCAAATATAATGAGTGAGAATTATGATTGTTGTTTTATTTGAAGTTAAACAAGTATGCAGGTTGTTTCTAACTGGCTGACTGATATGAGTCTTTGTAGGAGTTTTATATTCGCTTACCACTTGGTGAGTTAATCGACCATCTAGTACGTCAAAAGTCAACCTATCTAATATAAACAATGTCCTTCAGTAGACTTAGGTACTGTGACTGAATTGACATTGAATTTAAAAACTCTATAAAATAATTATACAATAAAACAACATACGATGTTACCTTCTATTCTCTGCCTACCCCATGGGTGTATTGGTAAAACCTCAGCTTATTTTGGTATCAATGTTACTAGCTATCAATAATATCAGCTGCATATTCTGTTTATCTGTCTGTGTAACTTTCAAAATGAAGTCGACACGCGTGTTTCATTATTTATGCTATATTTATTGCTTCTTGAATAGTTTTGAACCCTTGTGGAAATAAAAACCATTGTTAAATTTACACATGACACCTGATTACTGAAGCATTCTACATCCTTACTAATATTATAAATGAGAAAGTGAGTTTGTTTGTTTATTCCACTTCCACGCCGTAACTACTAAATCGATTGCTTTGAAATTTTGCAGACGTAAAGTTAGAAGTCTGGATTAAATAATAGGGTAGTTTTTATCCCGAAAAAATTTGATATTCTCGAGGGAAAACAAAAACATTGGTATAGATAGCGCTGTGTGTATTGGTATATGTCACATAGGCTACTTTTCATGTCGCGGAGAACCTAACGGGTTACCGGGGCTCCGGCTCGACGTGCAGGAGAAGGAACGGGGTGGTTTTTAGTCAGTAAGAGTCTGACACTCCCCCCGCCTCACCCAGGCGGGAGCAGTCATTCGATGATTATCCCCCCTTAAAAAAAAGGCTACTTTTCATCCTTTTGTGACGCGAGCGAAGCCGCGGGTAAAAGCTAGTATTACAATAAAACGAGACATACAAACGACTTAGAAACGTGTAATGTATAAGACGTTAATACAATTCAGCTAAAGACTATACGAGTCTGGATTGAATTGCTTTCATTTGTCTAACGAGTGCCTTAGTCCTAAATATCTCCTAAAGGATGGCTCTTAAATCAACCATCTTTCACAGAACTTCGATCCTTATTACATGTGGTAATAACGTCGTAAATGCTTTGATTGTGAATATCTTAGTTATAATTGGCGAATAATATTAATAACCTCGTTTTTCTGTTTCCAACTACGTGTATTATTTTGCAATGAGATGGGTATTTAGTTTCATAAAATTATAATTATACGACAACTTCAGGGATCTTTATAATTTATAGAGGCACTCGCTAGTATCAAAGACCTCTTATTTTCAACATGTCTACTTATTATAATAATGATTTGGTCCTGGAAGCTGACTGAAAAAACTGCACGGTCCTCCGAGAAGACTGCACGGTTGGTGCGGTGGCTGGGTAATTAGCTGGCGTGCAACGTGTCCTGCAATCCCGCACGGAACAACTATTTGTGTGATCTACAGATTATTGTTCCGAGTCTGGGTGTCATGTCTATTTGGACTTGTATGTTTGTAAACACACCCACGACAAAGGAGAAAATCCTAGTGTGGGTATAACCCGAGCGTACGGCGCGTCGCGTACCGCGCGCACCTCAAAGGGCCATCAGACTACCACAGATGGGGCCCAATAGGGCCGATGCCGATTCGGAGTCGCGGAGAACATAACGGGTAACCGGGGCTCCCGCTCGACGTGCAGGAGTAGGAACGGGGTGGTTTTTAGTCAGTAAGCGTCTGACACTCCTTCCCGCCTCACCCAGGCGGGAGCAGTCATTCGATGATTTTACCCCCTTAAAAAAAATAGTTTGGGTATAAAAAAAAGCTAAGCTCTCCATTCGCTTTCCTTAGACATGGAGAATTGTTTCCAGACCTTGGATTTTTATAAGTCACTTTTACTAAAGTCATTCCCATTCTACGGAATAAATTAAAAACTTTTAGTATCGTATGACCCAAATATAATAAAAAAAACATTAAACCTGTTTAATAAATACACTGCGACTGAATAAATCTTGGGGCTTAGAGTTACGGAACCGTTTCATCTGTTTGTGGGTAAATAGAAATCCTAGAGTAATTAGTTCTGCAGTGTATACATACGACACTATCTTATAGTTAGAGAGATATAGAGAGATAGCAAATCAAAGCTATTTAGTCAACCTTAAGGTTTAATTAAACACCAATGAATAAAGAGAATTATCTGCTTTACGCTATGACATATTATAGATAGCTTTTTATCCAGGAGGAAATCTTCAAGAAAAGCTTAGTTTTTTAAGGACAATAAATAGGAAATGTTTTTTTCTTTCCGAAAACACGCAGGTGGTTTCCACCAGCATCTGTATGATGCACTACTCAACAAACTGATATGAACGTCTATAGAACTGATCAGATAAGGTGATTTCATTATCATCGATGTTATAGGATATAGGATATAGAGGAAACTGTAGTAGTTTAAGATGCATTCACCACAGGTGTCGTTGAACTTTGCCGTTTAAGTAATAAACTATTGACATTGTATATTAATGAATAAATTAATACCGAGTCCATTAACCTCTCGCGCGTTTCTCGTACAAAAAAGTTTATTTCATTTCAAATTAACAAATTGATTTAAAATGAAATAATAAACTTTGAACAATGTAACCGAAGGTGTATAAAAATGAGTCTTAAAATGTCTTTCGTCGAATGCGCTGCCGAAACTATTAGCGATAGAACAAAATAATGTACAACAATATTGAAGAACATCATAATGTCTACAAAAAACTGCACGGTAGCATATGTCCAACTATTGTAGTTATGTAGTGACAATAGTCCAAATTTCCAAAAATAAATAATTGTCTACCCCGTGCGAAGCCGGGACGGGCT